ATAGCATTATCATTTGTCACTGAATCATGTAACACATTCTTGTTGCAGAATGGAGAGCATTATCATTATCCATTTTTTCAGTTCTTATATATTTAAAATATAAATTAAATGTCCTTGTTAAAAAAAATTGAAATTCATTGAAAAAAGTCCTGTTATGACATTAATAATTAATTAGTATATATTTAATTTAATTTAGTTATTAAAATATAATATAAAATAATTAATTAACTTAATTTTTTATATTATATATAATTATATTTTTAAATTTAATTATTTTTAATTAAAAAAAATAATTTTTTAATAAATATATTATATTATATATTAAAATAAATTGTGCACTAATCAATTTTCATTGTTGAAGCCTATGTCAGAGTCATAGATTGGAAGCATGCATAGCCGCCTTCATTTGTAGGTTAGTACCATTTCACAAAAAGAAAATGTAATTGGCAGTAGGGCTGGGCATTTTTTAACCGAATTGATTGTTTACTTGAAAACCGAATCGAAAAAATGAATTTGGTTTGGTTCAATGGTTTTTGGTTTTATTTTTTTTGATTTTAGTGTTAACTGAATATATTTTGGTTTGATTTCGATTGAGTTTCTCAAAAATCAAAAACTAAAAATAAACCAAAAATAAGTCATTTAAAAACTAAAATTAAGATAAATATGATAAAATATGATAAAATATGTGATAAAATATAATATATTATTAGAAAATAATTGATTATTATTTATTTATCAAAAATCAAAATCGAACCGATTTAAAACCAATTTATTGATAACCAAATCGATCAATTTTTTGATAATTTTGGTTCGGTTTTGGTTCTTAAAATTAAGAAAAAAAATTTTTGGTTATTTCAAAACCGGTTTCGGTTTTAACCGAAACCGGTTTTTGCCCACCCCTAATTGGCAGAACTAAATTTTTAAGTACTTACGTAACGCTAACGTTATCCTTTTTTCTTTTTTTTTTTTTGTCTTTTTGACGTTAAACGTGGGACTCAAATTTATATTTGTCAACTTTAATATGAAAAATCCCTTGTAAAAGAGAGATGGAGAGATAGGACGCTCTCACTAACGTACTCGCTAACGTTCTCTTTTTTATCATGGTACCCACATGGCATTTTATTTTCATTTTTCTTGACTTTGTTTTCTTTGTCAATATTTTATTTTATTGTTTGGGCAATTAAGGGGACAACTTTATTATTCGATACCGTTGGATTATGATAAAAAAATTTCTTATCTTTTACTTAAGGTGTAATAAATATATTTTTTATAATAAAAAATTATTAAAATAAATATTAATTTTAATATTATTATTACATAAATACATTTAATTAAATAATTAATAATTTAAATATTGAATAGAGTCTTTAGATTCAATGGTTTGACCCCAAATTTTAAGTACTTGGGTGAGGTGATTGGAGTTTCGAACTCTCCACCATCGTAAACTTCATCAAAAAGATGCCTAATGGCTGTGTGCCACATTTGAGGGGGTGGAATGTTCACCCGATCTGAGAATCAGTTGTTAACAATTAACTCATATTAACTTTCTAATTATTATCTTTGTCAAAAAAAAAATTAATATTATTTTTTATTCTTTTAATATTCATAAGGGTACAGTGATAAAATATGCTTGCGTATTGGCTTCATTGGACAAAGTGTTAGTAAAGAGCAATGCTAGGAACACTCGCCATTTGCACTCTCCGGCCAACACTTCCATTTTCATTGGGCCACGTTATGTTGGTTTTTCTATAGAGGCAATCATTTCATAGCCCAGTAAGCTTACGTGGCCCAATAAAAAGGCATATGTTGGCTGGAGAGTGCAGGAGGGGAGTGCCCCTAGCGCTGCTCTTTTACTAATGAGCAGTGCTAGGGACACTGGCCTCCTTCACTCTCCACCCAACACTTTCACTTTTATTGGGCCACGTTATTCTGGTTTGTGAGGGATTGCACTTCACGGTCTCAAACAAGCTTACGTGGCCCAATGAAAGGGGAAGTG